CATTTACACTTAAATTATATTTTTTTATGGAAAAAATATTTTCGTTGACTGAAATGAAGACTTGATGTGTTAGAAATGAATTTATAAATTTATTAATCTCCAACAAAAAAATTTATTTCAAAAAATGAAATGGGCAATACCCTAACGTAAAAAAATAAATAAAAAATAACGAATGCGTGTTATCAATTCATTTAAATGTATTACAAAAAAAAGCAGTTCAAGAAGACGAAGTTTTCGTCATCTAGTGTAAAAAAAAGTTTTCGGAGGGAAACCCTCGGGCTTTGAAGTGAAAAAAGAGCGGATGAAAAAGTTAAGGTGGTTTGTCGGCTAAAAATGCCCCGACTACGGTTGCGGTTTGTTACGCCCACGGATCAACAGACGCAAAATGTTCACAGCGCCCCGACAGAGATTCCACGGAGCGTGGAATAAAGAAACTGGTGGGACAGGTTGGGGGGCCTTCAAGGGCCCCCTTCTCCCGTGGTCTTTGATGCTACCCGACGGTTGAATCTCCCTTTCATTTTCCATCAAATGTTGCTGCACTAATTAATGAGACTTTTGTACTATCATTTCGCCTTCATATCACGCACGAGATGAATTTCATAGAAAGTCTTAGCCAATTTATTATTTATTTATTTATTTATTTTACTATTAATGTCCAATAAAAACGATTTCATAGAAAAAAATCTGTAAAATTTCTTCTTTCTAATACAAAATTGTTCATACGAACTCCTTGACATGAATCTTCAAGTTTTTTGTGCTCTACTGTTTCTTTTGATTAAAAAATCAATCTTAATTCGCCGACTTCTCCTATAAAAAACGGATCAGAAAATTCCGCAACAACTTGGAAAAACGTTAAAAAAATCCAATCCTCATAAAAAAAGTTCAACATTTTGAAAACATCATAATAAAAAAATGGTTTCATTTTTAATGTTTAAAACTTTGAAAAATTTAGAAGTGAATGGCATAAAACTCCTCAAACCTTCAATTTTCTTGCAAATTCATACAAACCTCTACCCCATTTGATAGAAAATTCTATTGAATTTCTATTACACTTGTATTACTTACTTATCAGTTTAATATTATAATTTTGGCCAATAGAAACGATTTTATAGAAAAAATCAGTTGAATTTCATCTTTCCGTATGACATTTTCTCTACTTTAACTTTCTTTTGATTAAAAAATCAAAACCTCAATTCTCTAACTTCTCCAATACGAAAAATCGATCAGAAAATTTCGTAAAATTTTGCACAAACTTAAAAAAAAATCCACCCCTAATCAACAAATTGTTCAACATTTTGACTGTGAAACTTAAAAAAAACAATTGTTGCATTGTTATGTAAAAATAAGAATGAATCCACTCATCAGTTAAATTCGTGAATGTCAAATGAAACAAACCTCAAACCCTCAATTCTCCGACTTCTCCAATAAAAAAAATCAGAAAATTTCGCAAAAACTTGAACAAACTTTAAAAAAATCCACTCCTAATCAACAAATTTTTCAACATTTTGACGGTGAAACTTAAAAAAAACTATTGTTACATTTTTTATGTAAAAAATGTATAGAAAATTCATGAATGATAAATGGAAAAGAACTGAAAATCCAAATAAAAATGAATCCCCTTAGTCCATACGCCAGGGCCATTTCTGTGTCCATTGACATTTTTTGTTTTCTCCATTGCGTTTTATGGTTGGACTTTATGTTTTCGGGGTCGCTGATCACGAATATGATAACCGTTTTTGCGAAATCACGGGCCGTCTATTTGTTCATAACATTTTAATTGTTTAAAACGCTGTCGCAAAAACGGTTCGAGATAGAAAAAAATGTTTCAAACAAAGAATGTTCCTCACATTAAAAGGAACATTTTTTGTCATATGACTTGGTTCCCTAACTCTTATCGTTGAAGAGTTATTGTGCGTGGGAGTAACTCAGACGGTGCGCGACCACTTTGGCGCAACGGAAGCGCGCTTCAGGGCGGATTATAGCGAATCGGTCAAAGATAGGGCAAAATAGTTCAAATCAAAAAAAATTTTTATTAAAAAATGCATCAATTAAGTTATGAGACTCTTCACTCTATCTCCAGTAGTTAATGAGATATTCGCGTTCATGTGCACGGTGGCGGATCAAATGAGTCGTCCGTTTCACATTTAACCGTAATTATCTCATTAACCATTGGTGACAGAGACAAATGTTTCATCACCAAATAGATGCATCATAAAATAACAAACATCTTTTGTTCGAAACATTTTTCTCTATCTTCATTTTCTGGGGAGGAAAATCATTTTCGAGCTGACTTTTTTTTTTTTTCATTACGAACCACTTTTAATGGAAACAACAGGAATTGTTGGATATGAGAACTCTATTTATATGGATTTCTGCACTTTTTCTGATCTTGACAGGTGCAAAAAGAACAACAGGACACTTTATGTAAAAAGCACATGCAAGTTGCTTTGACACAACTTGTACATGTGCAATTGGGTACTAGCTGATGTGCAGGTGGAATGAGTTCAGAAATGCGCCTAGGGATCAAGTCGTCTTCAACGAAGGCATATCCAAATTTCTCCATCCAATACCATGCGACTGAATTCATTGAAAAGGTCCAGAATCAAAACATAGATAAGGCTTTTGTTTGCCAATTCGAAGAAGACTGTGTCCACACTCGTCGTCGACCGGGTGCTCGAGAGTGCATGTGGAACTCAAGTAAACGGACTGCGTAGTCGGAGTCTGACTCTCGCTTAAAATATCTCTGAAGCTGATGAAGATAGAGAAAAATATTTCGAACAAAAGATGTTTGTTATTTTGTGATGCATCTATTTGGTAATGAAACATTTGTCTCTGTCACCAATGGTTAATGACATAATTACGGTTGAATGTGAAACGGACGATTCATTTGACCCGCCACCGTGCACATGAACGCGAATATCTCATTAACTACTGGAGATAGAGTGAAGAGTCTCATAACTTAATTGATGCAT